TAGCTGAATAAGCTTGCAAGGTTTGGCTGTAAGATGGGGACATATGAGAGTAAGTGAGATGAGAAGCTAGTGGATAGAGACAAGAGCTAGCTTTTGCTTTTGGCTGTGTAACAAAGTCCTGCAACCATAAAAGGGGTTTAGTAGGCCTGCCTGATCTTTTTAAAGATACAACTGGCACCACATGAGAAATTGGGATATGAGTAGGAGATACATGAGGTGGGATATGAGTAGGTGATAATTCAAAGGGCATAACTGGCTTAGAATCCATGTCTACATGAGTCACACTAGGCAGTGACACTGACTCAGAATCAATTGGTGAGATAAGGTCAAGAACAGGAAACATGGGGTCTGAGGATGCTTGCATGTGCTTGAAAGGAAACAAATCTTCTTGAAATACAACATGCATATTCACAAAAAACTTATGAGCATGAATATCATATAGGACATATCCTTTTTGTGAGGATGAATAACCCATAAACACTGTAGGAATGGCCCTGGATGAGAACTTATCAGAAATTTTGGGACATGCAGCATAACATAGGCATCCAAAAATTTTCACATGAGATAAGGATATAGAGTGGAGATATAGTTTTTCATAGGCAGACTTATAGGTCAATACTCTATAAAAAAGCCTATTGATAAGATACACAGCAGTGGAGACACAGTGACCCCAATATTTGAGTGGTATGGAGGCTTGAAACCTAAGAGACCTTGCCATGGCAAGAATGGTTCTATGCTTTCTTTCAACAACACCATTCTGTTGTGGTGTATAGACACATGTGCTTTGATACCATGAAAACTTCATAGTTGGAGCTTTAAGCTTTGCAGTAATGTAGAGAAGAAGAAAGAAATTGTATTGATTGAATTATGTAACTTGATTCATTGAATCTGTATATTGAGTGTATTTATACTAATCACATGGGATTGTAACTAACTAATGTCAGCTGTCTATATTGTTAACTAACTCTAGTGGATTAGTTAACTAACTCAACCATCTAGCTTGCTAACCATCTACACTAGTTAACACTCCTCCTCAAGCTTATGGTTGAAACACATTAGCCATCCCAAAACTGCTCATCAGCAAGTTGTGTTGTATCTTTCCCAGCCCTTTAGTCAGTAAATCAGCAAGTTGATGTTTAGTGTTGCCGTGTTCAGTTTTCAGCATTCCTTGGCAAATTCTTTCCCTCACAAAATGGCAATCAATGTTTATGTGTTTAGTTCTCTCATGGAAGATGGGATTTGCAGCTATTTGAATAGATGTCTTATTGTCACACATCATATGCACAGAATAATTTACACATACTCTCAGTTCTTTATATAGGCCTATTAACCAAGTGATCTCAGCTGCACAAGCAGTCATGCTCCTAATGTCATGCCCCGAGTCTACACCCTGGACGTGGCCGGCACTCGGAGACCATTACTGTCCCCAAGTGAACCATTGGCTTGGCTTTTTGAACTCAGCGGAAGACTTACTCAACAAAATAAGTTTAAACAATAACTTAAAGAAATAACATCTTAGCCAAATTAGCGACTTAAGTCTCAAAGCAAAACATCTGCAATACAAAGATGAGATACTCATAACTAACTGTCTGACTGTCCATGAAGCTTCTATAATACTGAGATGGATGTTGGGACAGACACCACAACATCCTAATAAAGCAAAAACTAGGAAAGCGAATAAAAGAGTCCTCCGAAAAGCAAGGAGGCTCACCACTAACTCTAGAATGCTCGACTAGATCAACGGCGCACTAGATGTTGATCCTGGTTACATGTGTTTGCATCATAATAAGATGCAGGCCAACTGGCATCAGTACATTAAATGTGTGAGTATGCGAGTTGGAAAGCTAAACAACAACTTAAGCTTGAAAAGAGTAAGAAGGAACACTTACCTTGGCTCTGTACAACTCATGAATAACTGAACTCAATATAAAGCAATAAGACACATGTAATATATATATAAAGCTTGTAAAACAGTGTGAACAACTTAGTTCGTTAAAGATAAAATAATAACAAACTCAACTTTACCTATATATAAAAGTAATATAACTTTTGTGGGAGATTCTTTAACCGACAGCCACCACTATGAGTCGTAGTGATGATACAACGTTTTACCTCACGTTGCCCAAGGACCATCCTATACCTTGCCGTGATATAAGACCTTACTTACCTTAGTGGATCCACTAGCTTAACTTAAGTGATCATCTAAAAAGTATGACCCATTAATACCCATGATGGCTACATGGTTCATATGGAGATTTGAATTAATATGAACTCGCGTCCCTAATTCGGTGCTCAATACTACTCCCAAAATATACTTTAGCTTATATGTGTTTTAAACACCTCTTTCTTTAGTTTGAGATAATTGCTCAATGTTTAGCCCAAAGGCTCTCTTGGAATTGATGTTCCTTTTATTGAAAACTAGCCCAAAGGCTCTTTTGGAAATCATAGTTCCTTTCTTGCTTAAATGTGAAAACATTTATAAACTTCTTTGGGAATACTTAGTTCCCTAATAAATTTTGAGAAATGAACTCAACTCTTTACTCTTTACTTTACTTGAAACTTGAGCCTTAAAACGAAGTTTAAACGTTTATTAAAGGCTCTTGAAGACTTTAAGAAACTTTGCTTTGACTTGTTTCTTAACTTCTAAACTCGACTCTTAACTTCTTTGACTTTGACCTTAACTTTCCTTGAATTGGATTTATGGATTCAAGATTCATGATCTCATGTTTATGGATGATTTATGATGTTTAGATGTACCTTAGAGTGTTGGAATCAACTAGAAAATGTAGGTACATCGCTTGGAAACTAGTACGAAAAGATGGGGGAAGAATGGGGTGGACTGGCGTCCTTGGCGCTCTGAGAGGCGTGGGGCGCCAAGCCCCAAACTTCAGAGAAGTCTGTGGGGAGCTCTGGCTGGCGTGGCGCCCCAAGGACAAAAGTTTAGAGGCTGCTTTGGGGCGCGGCGCCCCAGCCTCGTTACCCATGTGTTCTCAATTTTTCTTCTCCGTTTTTCATCTTTAAACCTTCTAATCTTCCCTAATTCCTTCCCCAAACACTTAGGATCAATTGTAACCTCAATACACAACCAATCTAACTCGAAAAACATCCCGAAAACATTAATCAACTTAACCCCCCAAGCATCAACAATTCAACCAACAAGAACTTAACGAATTTCAACAAAGTTCTTCAAGAACTCCCTAACTTTTCATTCAATCAAAGAAATAAGATGGGAGTGTGGGTGAACTAACCCAACACGAAAAGATCTCACATACCTTAATAGGGATCGCCCCCAACGAATTCCACTTCAAAAGCTTGACGTTCTTGGCGAAATCTTGGCTTTTCTCCCTTTCTTTCTTCTTTTCTCTCTTCTCCAAGATCTAAGCGTATTTCTCAATTGTCCAAACTGACTAAGTCATGTTTTTACCCCAATAAATCCCTAAAAATGAATTAGGAAATTAATTAGAGAAAAGACTACTTTGCCCTTCCCTAAATCCGGATTGGGACCTTCCTCAATCCAACAACCCAACTTCCGAAAGACATATCTCACTCATATGATGTCGAAATTGTGCAAACTCGGTGGTGTTGAAAAGATCATCCCAAGGGATTTCCAACCATATCAAGAGCTGCTCCTAACTCATTCTGAGCTAGGAGTTATGGCCGTTTGAAAATGGTCAAAACTCACTTTCTTAACTTAGACAATTTTTTTCCAGATTTCCTTATTCTTACCAAAATTCAATATTTTCTTATTTTAAACTCTTTATAGTCGTTTCTAGGTGCGAGATGTTACACATGAACTCTGCCTCAGCTGAACCCCTTGACACTGTTTCTTGTTTCTTAGATTTCCAAGACACTAAAACACCTCCAAACTTCACAAGATATCATGTGACTGGTCTCCTGGTTTCCACACATGCTCCCCAATCAGAGTCACAGTAGGCAGTGAGTTGTGCAGTTTGATCAGATGGCATTAATAATCCTGAACCAGGTGTTTCCTTAACATATCTCACCATTCTTAGTGCAACCTCCAAATGTGACTGTTTAGGAGAGTGCATGAATAGACTTAGTACCTATACAATGAAGGCAAGATATGGTCTTGTCATAGTGAGATAGAGAAGCCTTCCTACTAGTCTTTGATACCTTGTAGGATTTTGAAGTAGATCATCACTTTCAATACTTGTGTCTGTGTCATTAAGTTAGTCATCATATTTGATATAAGTGAGTTTTTGATTCACTTCTAGTGGTGTGTAGATAGGTTTAGCTCTTCCTAGCCCAGACTCTGAAATCAGTTCCAAAGCATACTTTCTTTGTGTCATCAAAATACCCTTGTTGGATCTAGAGAACTTAATTCCAAGGAAGAATTTGTGTTCACCTAGATCTTTCATTTTGAAACTGGTTTTAATTTCCTGTCTAGTCTTGCATAACTGTTGAGAATTGCTGCCAGTCATCAGAAGATCATCAACATACACTAACACTATCACAATATCCCCCTTTGTCTGTTTAGTGAAGAGTGAGTAGTCAAAGTGACTTTGTGTAAATCTCATCTGCACCAATGCTTCAGTTAGCTTCAAATTCCATTGCCTAGGTGCCTGTTTTAGACCATACAAAGACTTGTGTAATTTGCACACCTTCTTGCTTGCCCCCTGGTTTGCAAAGCCATCAGGAATCTGCATGTACACTTCTTCATTGAGATCACTATTAAGAAAGGAATTGTGCACATCCATCTGATAAATATACCATCCTTGTGAAGCAGCCAGAGCTACCACAGCTCTCACAGTGACCATCTTAGCAACTGGACTAAAAGTTTCTCCATAATCAAGACCTTCTCTCCAACTGAACCCCTCAGCTACCAGCCTGGCCTTGAGCCTCTCAACTTCCCCTGAGAACAGAAATTTTATTTTATAGATCCACTTGTATCCAATAGGTGCCTTGCCAGGTGGAAGATCAACAATGCTCCATGTTTTATTAGCCTCTAGAGCTGCAATCTCTTCATTCATAGCTTTTACTCAAGCAAGATCAACAGCAGCCTCCTTGAAGGTTACTGGTTCAGATATAGCTGAACAAGCTTGCAAGGTTTGACTGTAAGATGGGGACATATGAGAGTAAGTGAGATGAGAAGCTAGTGGATAGAGACAAAAACTAGCTTTTGCTTTTGGCTGTGTAACAAAGTCCTGCAACCACAAAGGGGGTTTAGTAGGCATGCCTGATCTTCTTGAAGATGCAACTGGCACCACAGGAGAAATTGGGATAGAAGTAGGAGATATAAGAGGTGCGATATGAGTAGGTGATAATTCAAAGGGCATAACTGGCTTAGAATCCATGTCTACAGGAGTCACACTAGGCAGTGACACTGACTCAGAATCAACTGGTGAGATAAGGTCAAGAACCGGAAACATGGGGTCTGAGGATGCTTGCATGTGCTTGAAAGGAAACAAATCTTCTTGAAATAAAACATGCCTATTCAGAAAAAACTTATGACATGAATATCATATAGGAAATATCTTTTTTGTGAGGATGAATAACCCATAAACACTGTAGGAATGGCCCTGGATGAGAACTTATTAGAAATCTTGGGACATGCAGCATAACCTAGGCACCCAAAAAATTTCAGATGAGATAAGGATGGCGAGTGGAGATATAGTTTTTCATAGGGAGACTTATCGGTCAATACTCTAGAAGGAAGCCTATTGATAAGATACACAGCAGTGGAGACACAGTGACCCCAATATTTGAGTGGTATAAAGGCTTGAATCCTGAGAGACCTTGCCATGGCAAGAATGGTTCTATTCTTTCTTTCTGCAACACCATTATGTTGTGGTGTATAGACACATGTACTCTGATGAGCAATTCCAAGTTCACTTACTAAAGTCTGAACCTCACTATTAAAGAACTCACAACTATTGTCTGTTCTCAGAGTTTTAACAGTGGTGGAGAATACATTTTGGACCTGTTTAAGAAAGTGTCTGAGTACCACTATAGTGTCTGCTTTGGATGAAATTAGGAACACCCAAGTGTACCTGCTAAAATCATCCACAATAGTAACAAAAAATCTCTTTCCATTATAGGTAGGAACTCTGTAAGGTCCCCACAAATCACAATGCAACAATTCAAATACATGATTAGTCTTGTGAGTACTTGTAGGAAATAGAAGTTTAATATGTCTAGCTAGAGGACAAACAGTGCAATGAAGTTGATCACTACTTGCTAATGTCTTAAGGCACTCATGTTTTTTTATTACATCAATAGGTGCATGACCAAGTCTTTTATGCCATATACTACTAGACTCTGAGTAACAGAACTAACATATTTGTTTACACTACAGTTGACCAGCTGACTCGGAGCTTGACTTGATCCTTCATGTAGTATGTATAAACTATGTTCCTCCTTACCAATCCCCTTCACTAGAACAGTGTAGAGATCCTGGAAAAGACAGAAGTCCGGAAAAAAACACACCATGCATTATAGTTCTTTGGTTATCTTTGAGACTGACAACAAGTTAAACCTGAAGTCAGGTAAGAATAACACATTAGATATAGGCTGTTTGTTCAACACACAAGTACTTCCAATGTGAGTAACTGATGCAACTTTACCATTTGGTAAATGAACTTTACTTTCTCCTTGTTCAGGCACATCTCTAGTTTTGTTTAGAATGCCAAGGTCAGATGTGATATGATGTGAAGCTCCAGTATCAACTATCCATTTTCTACTTGCATAATTACATGACATAGTAATATGGAACTACCTGAATCATCAGTAATGGCAATGTTTGCAGATGGTTCAGCTATTGTGTTCTCACAACTTGATCTAGATAGCAGATGAATAATTTGTTGATATTGAGCAGGAGTGAAAACAGCTCCAGAAAGAGGACATGTTCCTAAACTGTTGTTTCCTTTGTTGCTGCAACCTATGTTCTCCTGTCCAGGATTAGAGTGGAGATCCACCTGATTAACATACATCCATGTATTCAGAAGTTTCTTCTTGGACTTGAAGTCTGAAGGATATCCCACTATTTTGTAGCACTGTTCTCTGGAATGACCTTTACACCCACAATGTTCACACTGTAAGAAGTTTTTTCTAGCCTTGTAGCTTCCTCCTGAAGAGTTAGTACTGTGATTATATCCTTCATTGTGATCACCAAAACTTGAGAATGATTTCGTAGAAGACACCTTAGATGATCCAGCTCCATTGTTGTAGGTGTTGTGTCTGTGAGTATACATTGTTGTGCCTTCTATCATACCTGAGCTGTTGGAACTAGTACTAGTCAGACTTCTCTGACTTTCTTGATCAATAAGTAGTGCATATGCTTTGTTTAGTGAAGGAATAAGACTCATCATCAGGATTTGACTCCTATGAGGGGAATACGACTTATTTAACCCCATTAAGAATTGCAATAACCTTTGATAATCACAATGTTCACCAAACTTTTTGGATTCAGGACATGGACACTGAGGGCATGGCATGATAGCATCATACTCATCCCAGAGGTCTCTCAATTTTGAATGATAGTCAGTGATTGACATTGTTCCTTGAGTGAGAGAATGAATCTCTCAGTGTAGCTGAAAAATTCTGGATCCATTCATAGTGTCAAACCTTTCTCTCAGATCTAGCCACACCTTTCTAGCATCAGATGCATATACAACATAGCTAAGGAGACTAGGTCTCACTGCATTCATAATCCAACTAAAAACTACTGCATTACATTTTTCCCACTGATCATGTAATTCAGGCTCAAACATAGACTTAGGAAACCTTTCATTCACAAATCTTAGCTTACTTCGACCTACTAAACCAATTCGAAAAGACCTGCTCCACAAAGCATAGTTCTCTGAACCTGTTAATTGTAGTGAGATTAGAGAACTACCTGGAACTTTTGTATTTTGAAGAAACAGGGGATGATTGTGATCAATCACAGGGAATGTTGTTGTGCGTGTACCACTGCCAGTGCTAGCAGTTCCATCTCCAGCTGCATTCATTGTAGTTCCAGTCATGGGAACTTTTGAGTAACTTCTTCCGATTCACCAGTTTTTATGAATGATGAGATTGAAGCACATAATCCTTCTTCTGGATAATAAACTCTCTATGATCGTGGGCTCTGATACCATGAAAGCTCCATTAGTTGGAGCTTTAAGCTTTGCAGTAATGTAGAGAGGAAGAATGAAATTGTATTGATTGAATTATGTAACTTGATTCATTGAATATGTACACTGTGTGTATTTATACTAATCACATGGGCTTGTAACTAACTAATGCCATTTGTCTATATTGTTAACTAACTCTAGTAGATCAGTTAACTAACTCAACCATCTAGCTTGCTAACCATCTACACTAGTTAACATTATTTTGATTAATTAATTTTATGGAAACTTGTTAAAGAATGACAAAAAGTCTCACATTGGTGGTTAATGAGATGGGTGGACTTCTTATAAGGCTTGGGCAATCATCCTCCCTTTGAGCTAGTTTTTGGCTTGTGAGTTAGGCCTAAGACCTAATTTAACAAAATTGTTTTAACAAAATAATATAATAATAAAAAAGAAAAAGAACCCATATAACAGGACACTGCAATCTCGTTTAGACAATTACTGATGAAGGGAAATCATCAAAATATATGTCACGATTCAATGAATTTAAGTAGGACGGTACTTATAAGTATTAAACCTAATTGAATGATAATTGTTTAATCTTGTTAAGCATAGAAAACATAAGATGATCCAAACACTTAATTTGTTTAAGCTAGCGGCTGGAACTAAAACAAATTTATAACCCGCGTCCAACCCGTTTCACTCATTTTATGGCGGGTTGAAAATGAGGTAATCCATATTTAATTTATCCACTTTTTAAATGGGCAGGTAGAATATGTATTTAGTACGGGCGGGTTAAGCAAATATGGGTTGAAAATCAAAGCTAAGTTTTCACCAGAACAAACAATGGTTTATATATTTACAGGACTGGTTGAAACTTTTCACCATTTTTACTAGTGTAATAACTAGTTATACATATATATGAAACAAGTTGGATCACAAAAACAATTAATAAATAACAAAGTAATTCAGGAAAGAAGGCTATTATAATGTGTAAGGATGATAACGAAGATATAAAATGCCTCATTTTTGGTGATGAACAAAGTGATTTGCTTTTTTCTAATTCTCTAGGTTCTGATGATCTTGAATAAGCGAAATCTCTGGGCTAATGTCGTCATGTGTATAGTATGCAGGCCCTGAAGGCACGGGAAGACTCAGAGAGAGGCTACTGAGCATGAGAACTACTGCAGCCATAGTTGGTCTATCACCAATATTATCTTGAACACACAATAAAGCAATGTGGATGCATCTCATTATATCAGGAACAAGTCCTGAGCTTCCCGTCAAAATGGGGTCTATCAAATTTATAGCTGTTCCTTCGCGCCAGTTCCTCCATGCCTGTGACATATTAATTCAGAGTTTTACATCGACAATGTAAAAGAATTTGATGCATAGGGATTGTCCCAACTAATTCGGTATTGAGGTGTAGTTGATTAAATAACTTGGTTACTTACATAGCTCAGAAGATCTTCCATATATTCTCCATTTCTGAAACAAGTGTTCTTTTGGCCACTTAAAATTTCTAGGACTAGTACCCCAAAGCTAAAAACATCTGACTTGACTGAAAACTGTCCGTGCATTGCATACTCTGGAGCCATGTATCCACTGCAAAACAAAAACAAGATCAATTACATAACATTACCTCAAATAATAATGATTTTGGGGGTAATCAAAGTTCTGGTTCAACAAAATTGAGTTAACTATTCATGATGAAATTGATATGACAAAATTCATCTGAAAATTCTACATGTTAAGGAAAGATTTTGCTTTTGTCTCGAAACAGCTTTTGTTCTTGCTAACTAATAGTCAAGAATCCTTCCCAGTGATATGAAAATAACAGTCAACTTACTAGGTCCCAACAATTCTGCTTGTGTTGCCTTGAGTTTCACCCAACTTAAATAGCCTTGCCATGCCAAAGTCGGAAATTTAGGATACATTTTCTCATCAAGTAGAACATTACTAGCTTTGAGATCACGATGAATAATTCGAAGTCTAGAATCCTCATGAAGGTAAAGAATTCCCCTAGCAACGCCTCTTATGATTGTGGATCGTCTTTCCCAATCCAATTGAGTACGTTTAACTGAATCTGCGGACAAGATGATGAATATAACTTACGAGTTAGACTTCTTTACACAAATAATATAGAAGAATTTTTCCAGTATCAAGTCATTTAAAAGACAATCACAAGTCAGACAACCACCAGAGTTAAGTTTGTGGGCCCGAGTTCGATTGTGTGTTCTGTCTTTTAGTTATTGTTGTTTTCATTAGTTGGTGTCTTCTAACACAGACAAAATAAGTGTTGTGTTAATTAGACTGTTATTTGTGTATATAAGTTAGATTGATAACTTATTGATGCTCAAGCACATACTTTTAATAAAAAGTTAAGCAGTCCGATCCATACCAAATAAAAAGTGGTCAAGACTTGCATTGGGAACAAATTCATAGACAAGAAGTCTCTCTGTTCTATATTAGACAAAATCCCAGCAACTGGACCAAATTCCTGTGTTGAAGTTTGGCAACCAACAAAACCTCGTTTTTGAATTCTAGATCACCTTGTCCTGAATCTACTGACAATCTTTTCACTGCTATTTCTTTTCCATTTTGAAGCTTACCCTGAAACATAATATGAGTACAAATTGAAAATATTATGAATTATAACCAGTATTCTTGTTTCAACTAGGGTGTTATGCATTAAGGAGTTCACTTATAATATTTGTCCGTGGAAACAATATTTGTACTATACAAGTTAAACTCATGCAGCAATATGTAAGCTTAATCACCTTGTACACGGGACCAAATCCACCTTGTCCCAGCACATTAACATCTGAGAAGTTATCTGTCGCTGCTCTAATTGTCGAAAAATCATATTGCAAGGATTCTGTAGTGCTAATATCATCCCCACGTATACCTTCAGAAACATAGTAGTAAATGAAAAGCATACAACAAATTAGTTTAAACATGGTCCTAAGATTTTAACTTTCCTTAGTAATTGTTTGTTATAGCTTATGCTTACTCTGAATTTCGTCCACCAGCTTCTTCTTTCGCCTCCTCATCAAGATGACAGAAATACAACCAATAAGAATAACAATTGTAACAGTTGGCACAACGATAATGATGACTGTTCGCACCGTTTTATCACCATCCTCTTTCCCTACAAAAACGCTTCAAGTTAGTACAATGTCAGTTTTTAACTACATCTCATGTGAAAAAAAGTTATTATCTTTCCTTTGGAGGTTATTTCAGAAACTATGCATACTTATTAAATATCACAAATGCAATATCTCTCCTATAATATAGTATGATCTTCCTTGACACAAGTCAAAATTTGTGGTCATGTTGAATTGTGTGACCATCTCTTTTAGGTTATTATAAAAATAGACACGGAACAAATTGGGATGAGCAGAAGGAATGATATATAAATGTATTCACCTTCAGGTGGCGGAGCTTCTGACCCTACATCCAGCTGCTTGAAGAAACTGTAACTTTCATAACGGAAGTTACACCTTGCCCCTATGATTCTGCCACCCCTCCTGCCCATGCAGGGACAATGAATCATATCTCCATAAGCGCCAGTTAAGCAATTCTGAGGAGATAAATCAGGAGTGTACTGCACAAGTGCAAATATAGTCTGAAAATCTGGACCTGTCGCATTACCACTAGCATATTTTAGATGGGGATCACCACCATTTGCAGCAACGCCTCTCAAATTATCCAATAATTTTCTTAGCTCCTGGTTAAACTCATCGGGTTTTGAGGCATTCCTAATATTCCCTAAGTAAAAGAGGTTAGAAAATGATGTAGTGTCTGTAATGGATTCATTCGAGTACACTAACATACATTTATCATAACCACCAGAAGCTTCTTTTTGGTTAGGACATACTTGTACAAGCTTTTGAGAAACGATTGTGACATTATTCTTGTAGCTCCACGTCTCCTCTACATATATAGCACAATAACACTGGCTCTGTCGGAGTTTTGGCCAATGGAAGCATTGTTGAAACCATAGTTATCTATTTTTGAGGGAAGGGAAGTGAGGAGTGTGTTTAGATTGTTCTTGTACATACTATTCTCAGTATAGTTACCATTCTTACCACATCTACCGTATAGTAAATCAGGCAGCTGCGCTACGATATTGAGAACATGTATATGCAAAAACGAAATGATCAATAGCCACTTTTGAATTGTTATGGCCATGGCTGTTGATATTTTGGCTACAACTTGTAATGTAGACTATTTGATAGTAGCAAGTAATTTGTTCACAAGCTCCCCTTAGAATTGCAAGAGCTTGAGAAAACGTATGTTATAGTAAACCCTATTTATATATATTATTGGATTGGATTCAAAAATATTTTTTTTTAAAAAAAAAAACAAAAACTTGTAGAACACTTCGTCTTAAACATTCCATGAAATTATATGATTATATAAGTATTCCATTAATAATAAAAAAATGTGAATAATATAAAAAAAATTCTAATAAATAAGAAAACAATGGCAGATAGAATGGGATAGAAAATGTCAGACAAGAAGACTCCATCTGTCAGTGCCGTACGCATGGGACAAATTGGAGGGAATAATGAAAAAAGATTTAAACTTTTTGAGTTTTATATTTAGGTTTGAATAATCCGATTCATACTTGATTTCAAGTAACTTCATCATGTCTAGCTTGACTGGTTTGTTTTTTTTATTAGTAGGAAACGTGTTGGATGGGGGTTCGATCGAGTCTCACTCAGAAATATTGTAATAATTTCTGGCAATGACTCTAACAAAAGAAATTTTTAAAAACTGCTCAACTTCAATGCAATGGATCATTTATATTATATGTAGTTATGACTTGTGTACCAGTATTATTTTTTCTCTTCAAATTATACACCTATAAATATTTTATTTCACTTGGTCTACATCTCAGAAGT